TGTTCGTTCGTTTTACTCGCAACTGCGGGTGGATGGGGAGGGGATGCTTGCTGTTGAGGGGATGGTTCACCATGGCCAATTGTGGTGTGTTTCAGGAATTCTGAGGCGGCTTTGGCGATTCGTGAAAACCTGTTGCATGAACGGTGGAGGCTCCTGCAAAGCAAGGAATACAAAAACGGATGAAAAAACTCGCACGCCGCGTGCGTGCGGAAATATAGTAACGCAAACTAGGTCAAGCGGACCAAGCAAGCACGGTTGCATAGCCGGAGGAAAAAACAACCCGGGCGGCAGAATGGGTGAGGGAGGGAGCAAGGGACCCGCAGCCCACGGCACCCCGAGCACCCGAACCGCGCCCACACCCCAAAACTGTCAGCAGCACTGGAAGAGGGGGGAGGAGAAGGGAGGACAACCCAAAAAAGAAGGAAACACGGGGAACAACAAGAAAGAAGACAGAGCAGGACAAGCAAGGCAGACAACGCAAGAAAAAAACACGGAAAAACCGCAGAGCAAAAAAGAAACCAGCAGGGGCAGCCCGGCGGGCAGCAAGCAGAGCGACTGGAGGGACGGCGCCCTCAGTCAGACAGAGCCAAGAGGGACGGCACCCTCTGGCAACAGGTCAAGGAGGGCAGCACCTCCAGACACTAAGTGGCAGATCCCGCAAGCAGCAAAGCACAACGTAAAACAAAAGAAAAGCCAGTCCTCTAAGTGCGACGCCTTTGGCTCGGGCCGGCCGGGGCATCACCCTCCCGCTTGGGTGAACGACGCTGAGGACCGGACCTGCTGCAGATTAGAGGCCATAAGATTCTTAGTGTTGCCAGTAGGGAAGCCATGACTCCATTAGCTGTTGATTACGTAATGAGGACCACAGTCTATATAAGCTTGATAATACAGTAATAGGTCAGTGTTCTAAACCAGTGGCAGCCCCAGCGTCTGTTTCTTTGGGAAGGAGCCAGAAGACATCCTGCAACCGGGAGCCACAATCAATCCTTTGGTCAACGTTGATGGTCAGTGTCCTTTTTGAGTAAACTAGGGGCCCATTGACTCATTAAAATTACTTTACTTCGAGTGATCCCCACCACAGCCGTTGACATCATCCTCGTTGCTTATTTCAGCCCATAGCACAAGTCCTTCAGCGCCAAGTCTTACTGTTTTGTCCAGACCTGTGCCTCCCACGGCCGAGCTCTGCACTTTGACGTCCCCCCGCCTGCCGGATGACTTGCCAACGGCAGGATGAAGGAAGTCCAACGGTGCGTATAGCCAGATTAGCGGAAATCACTTCCGCCTCTGTTGAGCTCATTCCTGTGGCTGTCTGCTTCTTGGAGAAAGCAGTGAGGGGAAAGTAGGTATTAGGACCTACCATGGCCAGGATACACCCTGAGGTTGAGCGGCTGTCATGCTCGCCGGCATGATCGCTATCAGCGAACAACCATAATTTACAGTTCTTGGGATCATCACCGGTGAAACCGGACTGGACAACATCGATCGTCGAATGTATGTAACACATGAGCCGATGCAGGGCAATGTCACATTCTTTGGACCATTTGGTAGTACGAAGGAGGTCGAAGTGTGCCACGCGAGCGGCAAACAAGACCTTCATCAGCACACGGCTTGCAATGGCCTGGAGTTCCCCCCCGGCGTTCAGTTTCGTCACCAACGGGTTGCGCGATCTTGTCGTCATGAAATGGGGCGCTGACCCTTTTGTACACGAACGGGTTTGTCAACAAGGCTTTCGTACTTTTCCAAACACTGTCGGAGGAAGCCTCTCATGTCATACTCAACCTTTGTGACTTTCTTGTTCACGCAACCTTGATTCTCCTCAAGCTGATCAAGAAAGGTAAACCCTTGTGCTCTAGCAGCCTTCTTGGCTTGGCTTTTATCTCTAGTCTTCTTAACTGCTGCAACTGCCAACTTCGGATCTGAGACGTTCTTGTCGATGAAGTAGGTTTCCCCTGTCCACCAAAAAGGTAATCCCTGTTGACGGTCCACTTTCACATCATGCCATACATGCGAGGTTCCCCCCGGATCAGTGGCAACGGATCCGCCTAAAAATCGACCTACCTCCTCCGCAGTGTCCACGTCGATATGCTTTCCAATGAGTTCCCAACCCTTTTCATGATTCGCTTCAGGACCGGCAAGTTTGAAGTCGTCAACGTACACAGCAAGAAGAAGGGAAAGCTCGTCGTGCCAGAATATTGAGGGCCAACACTCTGGATGCACTGCACGAAAACCAACTCTGGCGAGGCAGTCTTCACAATGCCTTTCCCAGAAACCTCCTGAGTCCGGATGCCCGTACAGAGCGAGGACAAGGGGAATAGCTGGGTCCTTGAACTTTCCATGCCATTCCTTCGGGCATCGATACTTGGGGATGCGAATCCACGTAGGTTTGCCCTTGAAGGTGGTTTGAGTGTAAGCCTGTTTTCCATCGCCTTGGGTTATCTTGTTGTCTGAGGCACTCCCAAAGCAATCCAAAGCTTTTCCCGCCTCCATGTTGGCCGGTGCTGAGCCCAACTCAGAGAAAAGTGCGACCATGTCAGATTCGTCTTTGACTTTATTACCCTGAAACACGGTCCTACCTTTGTACTTTCTCAATGGGTTTCTTTTTGGAACAACTAAAAATACAACTCAGATCATTTCAGTAGTAGTCGTACTGGGCGGCCCAAAACTGGGAAACTTCCGGGGCCCGAGCAGTAGTAGTAGTAGTAGTAGTAGCAGTAGTAGTAGTAGTACTACTGCGGTAGTAGTAGCAATATAGCAGCGCACAGTTCGGGGCCCGACCTTCGCGGCCCTGAACCTAGGAAACTTCCGGGGCCCTAGTAGGAGTAGTAGTGGTACTAGTAGTAGTAGTAGTAGTAGAAGTAGTGGTAGTAGTAGTAGTAGCAGTAGTAGTAGTAGCAATAGCAGCGCACAGTTCGGGGCCCGAGCTTCGGGGCCCGAACGTTGGAAACTTCCGGGGCCCTAGTAGGAGTAGTAGTGGTACGCGTAGTAGCGGTAGTTGTAGTTGTAGTAGTAGTAGTAGTAGCAGTAGTAGTAGTAGTAGTGGTAGTGGTAGTAGTGGTAGTAGTGGTAGTAGTGGTAGTAGTGGTAGT